CACGTCTATTGTTTGAATTCATCAAGATATGGTAATTTTTCAGAGTAGCCTCAGGAATCTAACATAACCCACTTTCAGGCCAGAGAGATGAAGGCAGAAAAGGGCCGTGCCGCAAACTGAATGCAAAGCTGGCGGAGTGCGCAGAGGCGGTCGGTGTGCGTCATAGTTTCCTAATGACAAATCACCACAGACTCAGCGTTTGTGATGTGTTCTCTCATAGTCCCAGAGGTTGCGAGTCTGAAGTCCCGATGTCGGCAGGGCCACCCTCTCTTTGAAGTCTCCAGGGAAGACTCCTTCCTGGTCTCTTCCAGCTTCTGCTGCCCCCGGGTCTCCTTGGCTTGTCCACAGATCACGCCAAGCTCTGTGTCCATCTGCACGCTGTCCACTCCTCTGCGCATCGCTCCGCCCTCTCCTCTTCTTATAAGGCTGCCAATTATTGGCTTATGCATCACCCTGAATTTCTTCAGGATCCTTAAGTAATTACATCTGCAAAGACCCTATTTCCAAATAAGGTCACATTTTGAGATTCCACTTGGACATGGATTTGGGAAGGACAGTATTCAGCCCTTTAGAGCGTATGTTCCGTTTTGTTTATTCAAAAATTTCATATCATGTTGAATGTACGGAGGATAAGATGTGCTGAGGGCTCGGTAGTGTGTGAAAGCTTTGCACACGTTACATAGTTTTACCGTCACAACCGCTCAGTGGGGTAGATAAGGGTTCCCATTTTACGGTTGAAAAACTGAAGATAATGATCTTACTGTGACGTAGGAGCAAGAGATGCTTCAAAATAATAAAGAAATACTAAAGTATAACTCTAGTTCACCTAATAATTGAACAGTCCTGGCAATATAGCTCCGACTTTTTAAAACTATGGTAAATTATCAATAGAAAATCTCCTAGAGACAAGTTCTCAAGAGGGGAGGAAGCACACCTCGTCAAACAGAATATTACAAAATAGTCATCTGCCGCCAACCGGCTAGTAAAGCCAAGGGTGTGTTTCCTTTCCATCTTCCTCTTCCTCCTGTTCTTCCCTCTCTCTTTCTTCCTTCTCTGCTTTCCCTCCTCCTTCATTTTCCTCTTACTTTCTCTTTTTTTTTTATTCTGTTTGGACTTCAAAGTGTCTGAATGTATATATCTTCAATACTTTATATTAAAAATCAGATAACTATATCAATTATATTAATAATATATTATTACATTATATTAACCTGACATACGTTATACTAATAATAAGAAACTTAGAAACAAATAAAGCTAGAACGATGTCCAAAAATAATTTCCGAATCCAAGATACCACTGTTTGTAATTATTTGTCCTTAAAACAACAATAAAACAAAAAGACCTCCATTAAGCAGTCCTTCTCTGACTAAAAATTCAGACAACATTTACATAATCTTAAAACTGTGGCTTGAAAATGTGGTCTCCTGACCAGCAGCATCAGCCTGACCTGAGCACCTGTTAGAAATACAAGTCTTCGGGCCCCACTGCCTGTCTCCCGGATCAGAAATTCTACATGTCAGGTCCAGCGAGATGTGTAAAGCCCTCCAGGAGTTTCTAGTGCACATAAAGTTTTGAGAACCACTGTTTTAAAACATACTGTCCATCTCTTGGGAGAGTTCAAGTGATTTTCTACAAAAGTGTCCCCATCACAACTGAGAAGTCAGGATTTAGCATCTCAAGAAAGAGAACAAAGCTGTATCACATGCTACAGACAGAACCTTACCGAAAAGACCAGAAATAAAATCACAAAGGGACCTTCTCTTCTTTGGAATGTTTTTCTTACTTATCTCTTTTCTTCAATTGATCACTCAGCCTACCTTTTCTATACTTTATTCTATGTCTCTACTGTGAGAGAAATGAGTCTTCACAGCCATATTTCAATGAGAGATCCACATTGTAGCATGAAACCACAAATCAGGTATTCATTGGAAAGATGTATGCTTCTCAGCTGTATGCTAACTGGTCACTCTGCTTTCAAAGTTCCCTTTGAAAACCCCTCAATGTTTTCCACTGTTCATAAGTCCCTTCTCAATCCTGCTCCTCCTGCTTTAACACCAAGCCCTGCCCTACTTGGTAAGAAAGCGTCAGTCACTATGGTTTCCTTTCCTTTCCTTTTCTTTTCTTTTTCTTTTGTTTAGAGACAGATCCTTGCTGTGTCACCCAAGCTGGAGTGCAGTGGCTCGATCGACATTCATTGTAGCCTCGAACTCCTGGGCTCAAGCAATTCTCCTGCCTCAGCCTTCCTGAGTAACTGGAACTATAGGCACACACCACCGTTCCTGGCTAATTTTTTAAAATTTTTTTGTAGAGACAAGGTCTCACTGTGCTGCCCAGGCTGGTCTTAAACTCTTGGCCTCAAGTGATCCTCCTGCTTTGGCCTCCCAAAGTGCTGGAATTGTAGGCATAAGCCACTGTGCCCGGCCAGTTTCCTTTTCTTCCCCTCATAAACCAAACTGTCTCCCATCTCAGAAATTTTGTAAATTGATATGTTCTCTGTCACGAATGCTCTTGGTTTTATGATGTAAGGGATTATTCAGAACCCATATTATAAAAATAATTTGCTCTGTTTTTAAGAATCCTCAGTGCTAAAAGCAGTACCTGTCACTTTGAAAGCATCACGTGATTATCTGTTAACTGAATGAGCCCATGCATGAGTGGATGAATCACACAAGAATAAAGGATGACAGCCAGAGTCTGGAATAGAATTTGCAATGCTATGTTCCAGCCAAACATTAAATTCATGACTCAGTCATATGTCTATCTTTACATGAAAGAACATTCGAGAGAATCAATTAGTTGTGAAAGAGATCTTAAATGCATCCCCCTGGCCACACAAGACTGAATACATGCAATTCATAAGTTTGAGTTTATAAAGCATGGGTTGATTAACACATCAAGGTTATAAAGAGTCCATTATTTTAATATTATTCTCCATGATGAAACCTCCCACTTAGATGCACATGAGAATAAAAGTCTAAGTTTAAGTGAGAAGCTATTCAAAATAACATTATATTTAATATGCAACATACCTACTTTTTTTATTTTCCTACTAGGTTGTGTGTGGGTTCTTGAAATCATTTTAGATTATCATCCTTTTTCTGAAACTTAAAAATGTTATTGTCATCAATTATAACAAAGGCCATATCTTATACAGAAATTTCTATTCCTAATGAACCAGCAGAATGTATAAGAAAATTCGCCTAGGAAGTCTACAAAACTCACCATAAGCAGCAGTGTAACACTCGGTAAATGAACTATGTCTGTATTATGTAAGAGGCTAAAGCTTAATATGAACTTCTTCCTCATAAATAAAATGCCTAAACCATCCAAGAATACCTGAGCACACAGAGCTGTTTTCTGGATAGGTTTCAGCGTTGGGCAGGTTGATGTAGGAGTCATTTTCCTGTAGGGCCTAACTGGACATGGCATTGAATGGAATGACCAAATCGGGGAACTTAGAGAAGAAATGAAAGGCAAGGGCAGAAAATCAAAGCTCCCTTAGAAGGGGTAGGATTGCCCAACTTCATCTCTGAGGCAGCCTAAGAGTTAATCCAAAATTTATGCTGAAGCTGGGAAGTGAATTATTGCCCCAAAGCAGAAAAAGCCTTGCGGCCTCAGGACTGACAAATCGGAGAGTGGCCCATTCTGACAGGGAGTGGACCAGGCCCTAGCATGGGTAAGGGAGGCCACCACCAAACAAAGACACAGAATTCGGCTACAAATTCCTAAGTCACGGAACAGTCAACTGCGTGGAGGAAAGACGAGGAAAAGGCGCCCCGTAGTATAGCAGACGTACAGAGCACTTTACCTTCACAGTGCTGCAAGGAGACCTTTCTTGTCCGTTTACCTGCACGGTCGCCCAGGAAGTTACTGCATCCAAAATACTCATCAATAATAAGCTCCTTTTTTATTCTTTAAAATTAAGGAAACATCAGCAAAGAAAGTGTACAAGTTTTCATACTCTTCTCCTCTTTTCTTTTCTCGTTGGGTAAACAGAAATAAATAGAAGAAAGAAGAATAAAAATGCTGTATATATGAAAAATCTTCCACTTTGTGATGGTTCATGTTTATGTAGATTTTGGACAAAATTTTGTGCTATGGAGTAAAATAAATTTACCTTAATTTGATGTTTTAAAATTCAAATAAAAGACCAACTTTCAAAATATGGTCTGCTTTTTTCAAGTGCTGCTAAAATTTGAAGTAATAAATGTGCTACGAAAAGGCCACTGGACCTGGGGTCAAATATATTAACAGAAGCATTTTCAGAAGAACAGAGAGTATGAAAGCAGATTGAGGGGCAATTGGACGACTGCGTAAGGAGTCTGGAGAAGTAATGCATATCAATTAATGTTTCTATAAAATAAAGGAATGCTTATGTAGAGGTTTTCAGAGATGAGAAGAAATTATGAAAGGAAATCTTAAAGCTCCTCTTTATAGAGTAGGGAGTTAGAAGGAATAAACATTGAAGATGGGTTTTTTTTGTTGGATTATGAAGATGAGTCTCCAAAAAAGTAAAAGTAGGAAAGGTTAGGATTGAGATGGCAGGCTGGAGATTCCATGCCTAGATAGACCATCAGCTGGGGGCCTGGGAAGAGATTTGTAGGGGGTAGAAATGATGATGAATCCACTTGACTAATAGTCCATAAATGTCAACACTGTGGCTGGATCTTGTCAAAGAACACCTTATAAAGACATTCTTCTCATAGACCACAGTTTTATCAGGATTTATTTTCTAGAAGAAGCATCGTTTGAAAAAGTGAAAGAATGCACATTAGCTAGATGGTGATATCAAACAACTACATTAGTCATGATAGGATGGTCTTTGTTGATACAACACATACACCCAGAATCCGTAGGGTTTAATATTAAAGGCAAATATAGCCTGAGTAGTCCCTTTCTATCACTATAATTAAGAATAAGGGCCCTTCAAGTGTGCTGCATTAGGGGACAAAAAGGCGGGAGGAGACGCACGGTCTCTCAACAGCCTTGGCCGGAAAATGGCACATCTGCTAAAAACTCTGCAACGGAAGCGGGGGAATACAGAACAGCAAACGGTTATCTGGTGAGCACTAAATACCCCTGCCACACGACCACACAAAGTATTTCCCAAGGTAAAATTGCATAGATAGAAACCTATAGATTTATGTACTGTACGTATATGTGTATATATAAATATATATGTATTGTGTGTGCGTGTGCTATTTGACATGAACAGATACTGAGAGTATTAGAAATTTAAGGACTGAAGAACGTTTACTCAGAATTAATTGAGCACCTTCTATTGACAGGCATCTTTGCAGGGACATATAGCAGTTAATAAAACAAAAGAAAAACCTCCATTCCTTATCAGAAACTGTGTTCCTGTCAATGAGCTGTTTATGGCACAGGGCCTTTAAGAAAAGGTGAGAGTTTCATTATCATAGACAGCTGGAACTGAAAATTATCCCACAATTAACATAATATTTAAATACTCACTACGGCTGATGAGGAAGGCTTAGATACAGTGTGGGTGGGTGTGTGAATGCCGTTAATGGGTTCTCCCTTCTACTTTACCAATACTTTTTGTTTGTTTTGGGTCATATAAGAACTTGATTTTTTTCCTAAAATTATTTAATTTCTTCAAATTTATTTCTTTTGTTAAATGTGTCTCTAATTTTTTCCTAATATAATGAAAGTTTTAATTAGACTATTCAATCCAACACACTATTGGCATATGAATTAAATTCAAATTATACAATCTCTGAAGTGGATAAGATATTATGCTATTGTTCTGGTCACACCAATACTTTCTTAAAGATAACATGACTTTGTTATTGATCACACTTCTAAATGTTTACCTGATTCATTGTGTAACTGAGTATTTTTTAATTTCACAGCTGCTTCTACATCTTTACATCACAACAGCTTCACAATGTATTTTTTTTAAAATTGCTGGCCATGGAAAAAAGCAAAACTCTTACTATCAGTACCTTTCACAGTTCAAAATTTGGTGCTTCCTACAGAGAGGAGTTGCTTCTCAGCCAGACAATCTCCCGCGACGAAGGCGCAGCGCGGCTGCCGCGGACGGCACAGAAACGTGCGAGTGTGTCCCTGGAACACACGGTGAGCACATTCTTCCGGCTGGCCTGACGTGTCAGGGTTATTCAGGGATGTCATAGTTATTTCTATCGCATCTGTGTCTTCACTGTTTAAATTTTCTTTGGTGAAGTAATTTTCTAAGAGTTTATTTATGTACTGATAATATAAATTGTTAATTAGTTCTTGACAACTAGTGAAAAAAATCAACCTACTTGAAGACTAAACAAATGTTTACGAATGATGTAATTACCTCAATTAACTCCTGAGAGAAAGTACCAGGAAGACTGCCATTCATTTCTGAGTGACCCTCAGAAAGTCCCTAGCACAATGCACTGTACTTTACGTACAATAGGAGAGTTAGAAAATCAAAAGGCCGTAGCTAGAAATGATGAAGTACGTTGTAGGGACAAATGTGTTGTCTGTCAGTGTCACAGAAATCGGCCTGCTGTGGTGTTTTAAGAACACTGTTTCCCTTTACGTGAACCAAATGTCAACAGGAGCCACTCCTCACCATCAAATTATGCTCTATTTTCAAAATGCAGTATAAAAGTGTAGTACTTAGAGCCCTAGTTGAAATGCCCAGAAAGAAGAAAACGGTCCTTCAAATATATAAATCTGCTTAACAGGTTTGTAAATAATTGTGTATATATGTATATGTTTCTTCCTTATCATGTGTTAGAAACAATTTTATGGACGGTATTATAATGAAAGAAAGGCAGATTTAAGCCCCAGAAGTCTATATTAGAACAACTGAAAGTACGGTAAGGACGCAAATACCGATTCTGTTTGCGCACTTCTTTCAGCTTTGGGCCATGCCTCTGCAGGACTCACTCTCAACCTTGGGTGTCCGTGAGAAGGGAGGACATGCAGATTTGCTTCCAAACGGCTAAATCCTCCCATAATCTGTTTTCATATTGCCCATAATTTGAGACTTTTTCTTACATTTTTAAAGATAAAAAATAAAAGGATACGTGACAGTCACATTGAGTCTTTAATGGTGTGCAAAGCCCAAAATACTTACTCTCTGACGGTTCATAGAAAAAGCTTTTAAACTTCTGCTTCAACTGCGGACAGCGCTTTCCCATTATCCATGTAAAAGGTTTCTTTTACAAGGCTGAAGAAAATGACTAAGACATATAAAATTTATTTCAATGCAGTTTCATAGAGTTTAATTCTATGCCATCAATTGTTTTCAGCTACTTATAATCCGTAAGGTACCTGGGAAACCCGGACGCTGCAGTGAATCCAAGGTGAGTAGCTCGCATTAGCAAAGTGTGCCTTTAGGAAGGGAGAAATGAGACAAATGGAATCATACTAATCATAAAGCCATGACATAAGTGACAAAGATAGGTATAAAGAGCCATTGGTAAAAGGAAGACAGAAAAAAAATGTCAGTCTGTATCTAGGGACATTAGGAAAGGCATCTAGGACTGAGCTATTACTTGATATGGACCTAGTAAACAGTAGCGTGTCAGTCCCAATAGGTGAGGAGGGAAAGACATCCTGCACGGACACCCCAAGGGAGAAGGCAAATGCGCGGAGCTCAGGTCGGGGCACGGACACGTAGTAGAGTTCTGAAATAACAGACCAGTGCTGTGACGCACCATGGGCCGCCATACTTCTCCTGTAAAGGCACAAGGAGTGAATATTTTTAGCTTTGTGGACCTTATGATGTTTGTTGCAAGAAATCAGCAATGCAGTTACAGCATGGATGTTGCCACAGACAGCATGAAATGAATCAGTGCACTATGTTCCAATGAAACATTATTCACAAAAACAGATGGTGGGCCAGATTTGACTTGTGAGCCACAGTTTGATGAACAGATCCAAAAAAGGATATAAAGAGTTTTTAAGCAGTAGGGATTTTTTGAAGGTTTCTTATCAGGGCCACATGCACATTAGGAATGCACACAGTTGGTGATCCTTACTCTTAAGCATACAGAAGTGAACGATTCATGCTCTCTCGCCTAAGCTATCATGTAGGAGCTTATTCCTAAAATAGTTTAATCACACAAGAGACTCATAACTGGGCATCAATGTAATTGACAATTATTTAGTTAAAGACAACACAATGAGAGCTGAATGTTTCCAGTAACAAGAAAAATCTCTCGTGATGGTTAATTTTAAGTGTCACCTTGGCTATGCTATGGTGCCCAGTTTTTGGTTAAACACCAGTCTAGATGTTGCTGTGGAGTTATTTTTTTAGATATGATTAACATGGACATCCATGGACTTTGAGTAAATCTGATTACCCGCATCGGGTGGGTGGGCATCCTCCAATCAGTTGAAGGCTGAAGAGAAAAGCTTGCGGTTCCCCAAAGAACACAGAACTCAGCTCAAGACTGCGGTATAGAAACTGTCTGGATGTCCAGCCTGTCTGGCTCACCCTGTGGAGTCTGAACTCGAGGCCACATCATGAACTTGCACTTGGATTTCTGACCTTCCTGTTCGCCCTGTGGATTTCAGGCTTGCCAGATCTCACCCAATTACCTGCGTTTCATAGATGGAGGAAGCTGAGGCGTGGAATGCAGGCTTCAAACTGGTGCATGAGGCAGCCACTAACAATGACAACTGCCACAAATCCCTAGCAATTTAATAGAGCTAATTAATTAATAGATGTTTTCAAAAATATTCTTGCCTCAAATCGGCTAGGAATAAATACCATATTTAACAGTCTGTAAGGACTAATCTGGCTGTGACTCTCATGGATCGTGAGTTGACGGTGCCCAGCAAATACTTTGAACCTGTGCAAATGCTTTCGCAACTCCCGCTCTACCCGGCTGAGGAAATAGGCAGACGCGCCGTCACCATCCCGGCTTTCCCAGGCTTTGCCAGACTTGCCAGAATTCCATGTTATGTGTCCTTGTTTTCATTCTTAAGGAATCCAGACAATTGTTTTCCACATGAAAAGAAAGCGTTTTTTTCTTTGCAAAGGTATTCTCTGTAAATTATTATAAAATAGGTAACATTTTGAAATAACCCATATAGCCAAACTAAGAAAATGGTTGACAAATTTTTGTGTATTTTGTGGTGAAATATATTAAGAAATTAATATTTTTGAAGTACATTTAAGGATAATAGAAATTAAAATAACATTAACTAAAATCTTATTAACCTGAGTTTTAATGTAAGTATTGATATACTTGTATGCACACATGCAGAAAAAACTTGGGAATATATACACAAATATTCACTGTGGTCACAATGTTGCAGGATTATCTATTGTTTTTTTTAATATAATTTATTATTTTCACATTTTCAGTAATGCAAAGGCATTGTGTTTGTATCAAAATAATTAGCAAAAACTGCATATTTAAGATTTTACAAAAAAGATATTCAAAGATAAGTAGAAGAAAATACCAACACAACTACAACTAATACTGACGATAACAATACAACAAAATAGGCTTTGAAACAGAAAAGTTCTGGGTTTGAATTCTTGGTTTGGAAATTACCAGCTACGTGTGCTTGGTCACATATACCTTTGGCCCCTCCTCAGTGACGTGCACGCCCCAATCCCCGCACTCAGAGCATAAGCCACCTCACACGGCAAGAGGAACTTTGCAGGCAGAATTAAGGCTACAGACTTTAAGATAGAGATGGTAGCCAGGAATAGCCAGGTAGACCGAGTCATATCGGCCTCTAATAGATGAGAAGTTCCTCTAGCTGGAGACAGAAGAGATGCAGCAGAACCAGAAGTCAAAGAGTCAAAGCCCAGAGATTTGATTCCCCACTGCTGGCTCGAGGATGGAGGAGCCAGGGACCTCCATTCCTGCAAAGACAAGGACATGAGTCCTGCAGCAACCTGAAGCGTGTGCAAGCAGATTTTATTAAGAGCCTCAAGAGAAACGCAGCCCTGTTGGCACCCGGATTTCAGCCTTGTGAGACCTGGAGCAGAGAAACCAGCTGAGCCCATCCAGACTTCCGGCATATAGAAATCTGAGAAATTAAATTTGTGCCATTTTAGGCCTCTAAGTTTGTGACAATTCATTACAGCAACCATAAGGAAAACACGCAATATAAGCTAATCCTAGTCTTTTTTTAAATCAAAATGTATTTGCAAAATCACCTCACATGTAAATAGGTATATATATAATATCACTTCTCATGACATATTTTAAAATTTATCTCAGGTGCACACAATTTGTGTATTTCCATTGCAATGACATTTATTATTATTATCATTACAACTCAAAAAAATAAATCTCAAGACTCTGGAAAATATAATCAATACAAAGAAAAAATTTTAAAAAACTATTAAATTTTAGTATTGTGTAATAAAATTTAAGGTATTAAATTTATATCAGAAATGTATTTATATACATGGATAAATGAAAACTATAATGAAATGAATAATTTTCAATAGAATTAAAAAAAGAAATTCAAAAGTTAATTTGAAAAAAAAAAAAGAACCAAGAGCAGGATTCGGGTTAGGGTAGAGAAAGTTGGCAAATCTTGTACTCAATAAGAACAGTAAAATTGGAAAACATTGATGAAAACAGAAATTTAACACTCTGGAAAGCAAATATTGGTGTTCGGTGATGAAGAGAGACATGACATTACTAGTCTGAGGTTGCTTCAGTGAGGAGAGAAGGTTCCACGTGGCCACAAACTCCCGGCAGCATGGCCGCTGCGAACGCAGAGGGGAAAGCGCCCAGCCAAAGCGCAGCCTGAGCCTGCCCCGCGCTGGCCACCCGCACCCACCGCAGCACGGAGGATCACGGCGCTAGCAGAAGGATCACAGCCCACCGGGATGGAAGTTGGTTCTGAGGAGTTCCCGAAACCTCTGCCAGTCACTGGCTGAGCACTAAGCCAGCTGTGGGAGTGGACACCCCTGGGAAGCCAGGCTGCAAACAAAAACAAGAAAAAATAAACATAACCGAAGAGATACATGAATGGCTGCACACTCTAGGGAAGACAAATTTCAGATATAGCCCAGACAAGTTACTAAGCAAATAAAGGCCAATATTGCTAACATCGATTACATAAAAATGACCAATTTTCAACAACAACAACAAAAAGAGACATACAAAGAAACAGGAAACTCTGACTCATGTGACCTATATCTTAAAAAAAAATAATAATCATTCTAATTTCCAGCATGACAGCTTAAGGATCTTTTCTGATGATCCCCAGTGAGACTGGTGAAAATTATTTAGAAATAAAAAAAATTAAGCATCTGGAAATGGTCTTCAGGGCACACAGCAAATAAAGAAACACCTATTAAAGACACCTACTGAAATGTGGTTCTGTGAAATGTGGTTCTGTCAAACGTGCCCAAGACTGCACCCTCTCTCCCCGCTCCAGCTCAGTGAGCTGGAAACTCCACTTCCGACCGGCGCAGCCCAGACTCGGTTCCCCTTTGCAGGGTTTTCCTCTTGGGAGCAGCAGGACATTAGCGTTGCTCCTCCCGCCCCAGCTACCCGGCTGAGCAAGGGCTCCCCAGAGGCGAGGGCTCTCTTCTGGAGAGTGCACGCCTGTGGGAGGGAGGCCCAAGCTTAGGTGGGTTCCTGAGCATACCAGGGCCCCACTTTCCCCCTGGTCTGACAGTAAGACAGAGGTAGCGGCTCCATGTGGGGAGAGACCAGCAGAGAAGACCCAAAGCCACTGCCCCCACACCACCACAAGGCCCCCAGCTCCTGCTACAGGATCGCTGCTGAGAAAAGCTCGCCACTGTCTCCAACCTCATTTCTAGGGCCCTGGCTCAGAGAATTTGCCTGGGAGGCGAAGCAGACTGTAAAACAGATAGCTGTTAATCCTTTCCCAACAAACCGACTTCATTTGCAGCTGGGTATGGAGAAGTTCAAATCTAAGAGCATCTCAAAGTTAGGGGATTGTGGTAAAACGCCACTGGGAGGAACTGGTAGATGCAATGAAGCTACAGGTTAAACTGTACAACGCAGAGTTTTAAACTGTATAATACATGCACAACCAGGAAAGGAGACAGCTAGAAGTCCTCTAGGAGTCAACACAAATATCAAACACTGACCTTGGAACTATTCCTTCAAAGGCTATCAAATCTGATCTGATTAATCTGCATAGCAGTATATGCCACTGCACATTGTTAAAAGCAATGGAGCAACCAGCCAGAAACTGGCGGAGCTTAAAATTTCGGTGTCACTAGGGAGAGATGCAAAGAGAGCCCTGCCAGAGAGCCCTGCAAACACAGAGTGGTGGAGACTTTGCAATCTGAAAACAGAAGGAAAAGTATGAAGAAAAATGAACAGAGCCTCAGAGAGGTGTGGGACAC